AATTAAGAAAGGACTTGTATCGCTGAAGGTCCTCGGAAAGAATTTCTACCGGAAATTATCAAACAAGCAGATACACAACAATATGTTTAATAGAAACGATGTTTTAACATCGATTATTCTTTCTGATTTCGCAAGACTTAGAACCAGTGGCGTAGCCAGGTTTTCCACTCAGGGAGGCAGAAAATTTTAAGGCTGGGTCAATAAATTAAAAAGGTGAAATTGATCTAAATTTTTAATTAAAATGGTCATTAAAACAAATCAAATCAAATGTAATAGTGTTTATAGAAGTTTTATATATTTTTATTAAATGATACAAAAGGAGTTTATTATATATAAAAGGTGAAAAATAATGTGATCGATATGGCTAGATTTTTCAGGGGGCTTGGAACAATATTAATTGACGGTTTGGTGCTAAACTTTAAACCTTATTACTGACAGTCGGCACATTTCTAGAATGGTAAACAGCATTGCAATTAAAATAAACGTTTCGAAAGCTTAAGAAGAAAATTTAATTTTTATCTACCATTGTAAAGGAATAGATAAACATGTTTTATTTTTAATATAATACATTGATATCAGTTAGTTGATTTTACTTAGTATCATCAGTTAAAAAATAAAATGTTTCTAAGTCTATGTAAAAGTGATGGAAACGTATGTGTAACTTATTCAGTATTTTGTTAGTTAAATACCCCAAAATAAAAATATTCCATCGGTTATATTTTTTTCATCTTGTATATTACTAATAAACAGGCAGTAGAAAAGCACTGGCTGTTCTGATAGTGATAGTGCTTTGTGCTATAATCTCAACACAAAGAAAACATAAACCTGCAATGAACCTGCAATCGCTAGACAATTATGAACCACGATAGTGTTTCAAAGTAGGAATTGTCCAGGAATTTCACACAAATTCTAATAAAACATACGAGCAAAAACATCTTAAAAAGCAGACTTATTCTTGAAACAACACTCAAGACGTTCTATCTCATTGGCTAATATATTGATAACTGCAAAAAAAGTTGATTTTCCAATTGTTAGACAAAATTCCTCCATTTTTTTCTTCATATTATTATTAATATTTCACAACTGCACAGGAAAAATGACTATGAATATTTTATTCAAACCTGGGCAAACCTACTAAAAATATTCCTGTGTAGGTAATAGGACTATGTTATATTGATTCTTGAAAGAGAAGGAGAGATTTTATCAGTTTTTTCATAGTTACTGGCCAAGCACCGAAGCCTACAGCAAAAACCGCTAGATATACTGCGCCAAAATCTAGGCACAACTACTAAACAAACTGCTGTGAAGGATGTAGGGCTATTTTGAAGTTGATTCTTGAAACTCGAGATTCCCACCCTCTAAAATTTCCTCTTCGCTACCAACATAAGCTCTTCCAAGCCATTCAAGCATCAAAGAAATGTAGAAGCCACTTAAGCATCGTATATTAGTCGGAAACACTTCGTTTTATTAGAGTAAACAATGTGTATATTTATAACAGTGTCTCCGGCTTTATTAT